CAAATGCATTAGCATTTCTACGGAACAAGTCGCCACATGTTCCAACCCCCAACCTGGATGGCCAGGAGACTGTGTTCGTCAGACCTCTAACCATTGACCAACCTGGTATGAGAGACTGTGAGTGTCGCGGGACACTCTCCAGTATAGCTCAATGGATCGCTGAGGTGCGCAAACCGTCACACCACGGTAAGGTTCAGTCTCTTGGTGACGGATTAGCCCTAGTAATTGTACCTTATTTGTTGCCCATCAACCGCCGGTGATAAATGTCAGTCATAACATTTCTGTTGGCGCTGCAAGACGCGTGCCATGATGTTTTAGTCCATCAGCGAAGTTTTACACTAGTAAGTGAAAGTATCCTGTGACACTTTTGTGTTTCCCCTACACTCTTCCTGGAAGCGAGCATACCAAAGTATAAGAAGATCAAACACAATTTCAGTCTAAATAATATGTACGGACTCAAAACATCCACGAGTAGAAATGCATCGGTAGTTAACAATTCCCTGTTCATCGTCATATTACCACTCTCAACATAGCGGGTCCGCCCACACCATAGTGAACAACCGGCACAGTGAGGAAACGTGACATAGTACCACATATTTTGTCCCGGTATGAAACTAAATTAAGGTTTGAGTGGAATACAAACAGCATGGAAGATTCTGCACTCACACTTTGATCACCTCCACGCATGCCATAACTACTACCGACAGCCTGTGCAACCGTAAATTGTTTTGAGCATTATCGCCGTCGGGTGTAAGCCGTATGGAAATTGTATACTAGTTCTCCCCACCTTATTTTGGTAATCTTACGATTTCTTGGTTACTTTGAGTTTTGAATGGTGAAATCGACCGCTGGATAAAAGTGTGACGGGCTGGTATTCAAAACAGTGGATTAAACACTATCGACCGATCCACTGGACGCTTGCGCACAGTAGATGAACCAAGAGCGGCTGGGGTGGTATGCGCAGACGGTTGATGCCACTGTAAACCCAAACGAACAAGATAGGTGGGTAAACACGCAAAGTCCAGTCAATCTAAGCCTGATGGGATTATAACGCTCATCAGCATTAGTTCTTTAAAACCAAAGCAGTGTGACCATCCATCAGCTCCTCCAAGTTACCGCACTCTCCCCAGGCAAGCTATATGGAGAGAGTCCATCCTCTTCAAAGTCAGGCGAAGACTGAAGTATCAATTTCTCTCAGCCGGTTCCGTGACACCAACAATTTCGAAAGGAGCAAGACATCGGCCCACAACGCGTGAATAATAGGAAACCCTTGAAAAATTCTGTAAAACAGACCTTCCTCCACACTCACTTGCCTGACATCTCTCAGCTATATTTATAGGTGACCGAAAAACTTCGGTGGATGTAGTATATTTGAAGGTCTCGTTGTACACGTAATTAAAGTATAAATACCATTTGAAAGGTGATGCACTTTGCGACCATCTATTTCCTCAATCTATTTACTGTCACAGGTCGAGGTGCTCCAGGCACCGGTGGTCCTCGTGGTGGTGGACGAGGAGGTTCCGTGGGACGAGGAGGTGCCCCTGGTGGTGGTGGTGGTGGTGGACCTGGCCGTGGAAGCTTCCGTGGAAAATGAACTTTTCTTGCTTCTCATTTTCCTTTTTTTGTCCTGTAAATATATGGCCATATTTTACATGCAGAGCGACCATCTGATCCTCTCTTTTCTTCTCCGTAATGAGGCTGTGTTTGGGGATGTTCCGCAAAGAAACAACAGCTGTTGGTCGCCACTTAGCTCCTCAGAGGTTGGTTGTTTGGGCGAGAAGGCCCAAGTGGTTAGAGCGCGAATTTACTGACCGGAAGGTCCGTGGTTCGAACCCGACCTCTAACTCTCGACTTCCCTCTCTAGGCTTGGGCAACCTGGAAGTATCCCAGCCCTTGTGCAACCTTCGGGTGACATGGCAGTTAGGCACCGAAAGGGTGCTACAGCTGGACGGTTGATTGTTTGCAATTGTTTATGCGTGCCCACTCAAAAAACGGACTGATCGACATATGCGGTCAGCATCGCAGGGGGCGTGAAATCAGCTGTCTGCACAAGTGTTGCTTGCAAGCAACCTGAACCGTCAGTTCATTTTAGTATTTAGCTGCTCATTTGTCTCCACATGAATGGGCCATCAGTCGATCATAATATTGGATTTAGAACCGTCCTGTTATCATTCATCGCTTCGACTCTATATGGATCTACATCGAGGTGGCTCAGGGGGCGACATGTCTCAGTGGTTAGAGCGCAAATTTGCTGACCGGAAGGTCCATACTTCTAGCCCGACCTCTGCCTCTCGACTTCCCCTGTCTAGGCTTGGGCAACCTGGTAGTATCCCAGCCCTCGGGCTTCCTTCGGGTGGCATCGCAGTTAGGCACCTAAAGTGTGTTACAGCTGAACGGACCTACGTCGTCTTCAGGGACTTGATGCGAACTGCCTGTAGTTCTTCCCAATCTTTACAGGCGCTTGTTGGAGCAGGGGAATTGTGAGACCACTACCCGCTCATTGTTCGTGTAGACCGTTTAGGCCTTGTTTTTTGGCAGCCTGAGACATTAGGCTATCTGAAGTGAGTACCATTGTGTTCAACTGTCTAGTTCCCATTTGGGTCTACCACTGACCCACTTCAGCACGATTTACTTTTTTGACATTCTTGGCCTGTATAGGTGCCGGAAATGGCCCTGATCGTATTGCACGTGACTTCACCTCATGACGCCTTAATTGGATTTCTGCACATTTTGCAGCGTTGGTTGGTACGGAATGCACAGTATAGTGATTCAGTAGATAATGAACATTCCGCGTTTACGTCCTTTGTCGTTCCTGCAACCCATGGCTGAAGCGTCGACAGTGTGTTCTGCATGTTACTGAAGTGAGGACCAGTTTAACACTAGCAACGAAGAACGCTTTCTTCACAGGACTAGCACGTCCCACTTCTTCAACTGTGGGAATTTTGGTTTCTGCCACACCTCCCTTTCTTCCATCTGTAATTTTGAAGAACCCAAGATGAATGCTCTTTCCGGTGACTAGTGACAATGAATGCAATACAGGCTAATAGTTGTCTAAATCTTAGTTTTTCTTGGCTGTCCATCTCCATCAAACTTTCACGTATGGACTTCTATTCGAGAACAGTTACTCGGTCTTGTCACACCACAGTATATTCACTTCATTGTGCGACCTATGTAGTGCCTGTACTTCACTCGAAGAGTATTCAACGCATGTATCTTAGGCTGTCGCAACTCTTCTATGGAATGCTTTGTAGGGTCTGCTGTTGTGTTGCTGGTCGGTCATTTCGTGGTGCACCAGTTATCAAGCCATCTGAGTTACTGTCCCCCCTCCGGTTTTCTGCTGTGTGCATCCATCAAATACGCTGGTTCAGCTCACCATGAGGACGTTCATGTCCGCTGGGGAGTGTTACGCGAATACCTACTGGAATGATCATATCTGAGTCTTGTTGATCTTCGAATGGTGGACATTCACTTATTGTCGCTAGCCTTACAAGAATGCAAATCCCAGGTCCTATTTTATCAACCACGACTAGATCATATGAAGCACTTAACAGATACCCGTCATTAATCAAGGATGTGCGTTATCTAATCGCTTCAGTTCAACAGGAGCCTCATCCGGAATGGTCGGATTTCCTAATGTAATTTTTTTCGGCTGGGCTTTAATAACCGCCGCTGACCATCATGTTCCGCAGCCGAATGGCACTCAACCACATCAGTGGCGTTACGCCGTTTGGTTACCACAGTATAAAGCAGGTCAGCAACTAGCTACCTTATTGAAAAATTAGGCCTGTATCTCAAGTTCGTGTGTCTGACCCCGAAGTTTTAATTACCCGCATGCCCCTGTCAACACGGCTGAGGGGATGTTGTTTTCCCTGCGAGAATGTCGCTTGCTGTTCCTGGCCTATAGCTCTTGCTAAACTAATTCAACGAATAATAATTTTAGTGGTCAAAACTACGGTTTTTTATGTTCGCAGAGATTTTTGGACAATTTTGTGAAAAGGAGGATTCACTACTTTGAGGCATAACTTTGAAGTGCCTTTGCTAGTGAAATACGGTCATTAATTACACACTACTGAAAGCATTTAAGTAGCTAAATTGTTCCTCACGTTTTGTGTGATGTTAGTCGCTTCCCATTTCCCAAGTTACGCAGGCCGCAAGTGTTAGCTCAAGTTGTAATGATTGCACACTGAGAGAGTATCAGTTCTGGGTAGAAATTCCGAAATAGTATGTCGAATTTAAGTTCTCTAGTTGAGCTGTCTGATCATAGATGTGGATGGGAAGTGTTTAACTTACACGCCAAAGCCCCCGAGCTCCGTTTTTGGGTTTGGCCGGATCCACGCCGGCCTCTCGTCCAATGCACTACAAAGCCCGTAATTTGGCAGGACTTAATGGAGAAGAATAACTGAATGTTTCTTGTTCTTAAGAAGCGTGACTGTAGGTAGTGCTTCTGCATTCGGCTCGATTGTTTTAGTGTTCATCCTGGAAACAACGGCTTTACAACCACGTAATCTCACAGCTGGAAGCAGATAGCGTAATCATCCTTAAACTAAACCGCACCCACTTGATTCGAGCCAACTCAGAACTGAGAAACTCTTCTTTCAAGTGAGAACCTCAAATCTCAGAAGTGTGTCTCTCCGACCATACATCAAAATTCAAGGTTAGATAGCCTTTTCCTTTGTTCGAAAAGTGGAATGATCTGAGAGAGAGAGAGAGAGGGAGACTGCAAGGAAGGCGTGGGTGTAGATCCAACACCTTCGAACCTACTTACATCGCATTCACAATATCGGCATGATTTTCCCATCGTTTTTTGCTCAATAACTTCTGTAATGTAGGCAAGGCAACCTTTCAGTGTCTCACCTGGATGGAAACACAATGTCTAGATTTTTATTCTGATTCTCAGATTTACAGATACAGCATACACAGTCACACTATCTTACCCTTCATTTGACAAAAAAGGTCAAAACGGTTTTTCACTTTATACGGAGATACATTACTTTTCTCCTGAAGTCATCTCCACTCTATTACAAACGCACCCGCAATGACATCGAATTCGATACAAGTTTAGCGGTGTTGAAAGACCACTCCCTTATTCACACAGCGGTCCATTTCGATGTTTGAAACTACCTTCTGTTGTGTCGTGCGGTGCGGTGGCCGAGCGATTGGGTTACGCCTGCACTGAGCCTGCCAGACTACGCGATAGGGAGAAGACAGAGAACTGGGGACACAGCTGTATTGCCAGGACAAAACGTACAAAGCGTCTGCGTAAATATATAGGATAACTAAACGGCCAAACATGCTCATTCACTTGTTCGCTCCGTACAGCCAATGGCGGTGGTCCGGTCGTGAACATTCTCAGGCCCACTACTTTGGTCGTGTGTTGCTAAGCCGTTTGGTGAGAGCCGTGTCTCGTGGGAGCCGCCGATTCATCTACTTTCCGGACGTGTCGAAACCATGGTGACCTTGGGGATGCATCACTCTGTGCACATGCGCTTTTTCTTCTGTCTGGGCGCGCCCTGACACCTGCATTCTACACAGATGGTGGCTAGTCCAGGATCTGTTAAATGTCCTGTTTTTTTTTCTGTTTTTTTACGTCTGCTACTCACACCCGTGACGTTTGTGTACAAATAACAGGATGTATATATGAGACGAACCATCGGGACCTAGATCACATTCGTGCACGTGACAAGTCTGCATCCGTTTTTCTGTGCCGCTATAGACATGTGAGAAATATAGTACGCTTGTTACTGACTGTTCAGGCGGCCGACCCCACATCCTCGTTGCGACGGGTTTTCCGCCTGAATTGTACCGTTTCTTCACAATGTCGAGCCTACGTTAGGTTCCATTTTACGGCAACCGGGCTCTCATTCTACACACATACTTGTACTGCTATCAACACATGATCTGCATCACCGGGGCACCCATGAGCGACTTTGAGGCTGTTGTAGCTAATCTACTGTAAAAACAAAATATCCATCAAAATTGATTTCTGTATACAGAGAAGGTTGGTATGTTTGATGTCAAAGCTGCAGACTTTTGAAACACGGTGCTAGTTGGAAACGTTTTTGTGCAATGACAATAGTTTATCACGACCTTTGTTTCCTGTAACAGCATACAGTGCTGCTCTACTCCAGAAAATCCACTCTCCCAAGGAAACAGATTTCCAAAGAACTTTGAAAGTAAAGTTGAAGCCATGAGAAATTGAAGTACTGCTTCTTAGTCGCTTCAGTGAACATCATTCACCAGCTTACTTCCATAGCAATCTCAATTGTTGCGTTTGTTGGTTAATTTCACGAGACCTGTGTGTAATCCGATACCCAACACAGGCATTTAAACAACGCGGTGGCACAGAAACTTGTGCATATGAATCTTTTTATCTATTTCTGTTCGACCTCCGGCTGTCTCCACAAAATACCATACTTGGTATGTGTTTCCAGACCCCATTAGTTTGCTTCGTGGGCGGCTGGGGCACGACTGTGTCCACAATATTCGTCCATTCGCCTCTTTAGATGTCTTTATGAAGCCGATATGGCTAAAAGTGATGAATTAATTGAGAGCAGTGGCGAAATTTAACCACGAAACATATGCGTCTGTTTTGATTCGACAACATGAGTCCCTGTTTTTTTGTTTATTGTCGGGAAAGTCAGATTCCTGAAGGTTATTCCAGATTACCCTCAAACTCCACCAAGAGCTGATCAGACAACTTTGGAAAAGATCAGACAGTGACCAATCCAACTACACGAAGACCGTTTCCAGGACCACCAGATACTGTTTAGAAGCCATACAATCACAGGCAGAAGAGGATGAATTCACCCACTGAACCCTGCACTGACGATGTCACCTCGAGTGGTGATGGAACGTCTTCAATCCAACTGCCAATCTCGGCGAACAGACCATCAACCAAGCAGCTCACCCGAGCCCCCTGAAAATATAGCGCGAGGTCATTGTACTTTCCAACCCCACTCGCTCGGTCGCAGTGAAGCTGGTGCGTTCCTTGTGGGCGAGTATTTTTTCAGCACTAGGCACTGGAGCGGATACAACAGTCAGCTATAACATTTATCATAATATGAAAGAGTATAATAAAGGAAATACGAAGTTTTCAATCAATTGGAAAATATTTGGGACCGATTGGGAAGTCATCGTTTCAGAGGGATTGTTTAACAAACCCCTCTGAAACGAAAAACGAAGTTTATGGAAAAAACATCAATATTCATCATTGGCTATTGAATCGGGGTGACAGCATATATACTAAATTCCTTAAAGCAAGCTGGATCATCTTCCACTGAAATTTGGCCATGTAGGGGAAACTAGACTGTGCTGGAAAGCCGAGGAGAACTGTCTCATCCTTGTTTGGAATCATCGGTAGGGCGCACCTCACGAAATTCCGGGGAGGTTCGAACCTGCGACCTGCCGGCTGGTAGTCTGAATACTTAATCGTTTGGCCACGACTGGTTGACCAGCATTGTCACTAACTCGCAATTGGGTAGGACGTTCTCACAGAGCGAATTCTCAATTGAAAATTTATAACAAACCGGATCGGCTTCTCATTGGTAAAACGAAAGAATAGGTGACCAATCAAAATCCAATCCCCATACTTTCGTTCTAAAGGCGGGAGTTTTTTATGAACGAGTGAAACCTATGTTACTACAACAGGTACGAAAAATCATTAATCCCTAAGAGAAACACAGTTTGAATAAAGGCGGAATTGGTGATCGACCTCCCACAGATTGGCCGATGTTGTTGCTGAGTCGGAGATGGTTTGAGAGGTAGCGTTACGCGCTCATTGTGAGGTCGATGGCAGTCAAAACCAATGAGCCGGTCGTTCACGCGTTAACGTTGAATTTGGTTCTAAATACGGTAATAGTAATCTGGTTTTTCTATTACAAAGAAAGGCTCAACACTAATCATTTCTCAGTAAACCTTCCTTATCCTGACTCCATCAATGTCTGACCCACTATGGAATTCACGAATGCAGCCGACCAACAACGCTGAAAGGCATCAAACATCAATATATGGGTCAGATGCCTGTAAAACGAAGGCATTATCGCCATCGAGCCCGAGACACCTGTCAAATTAAGCATACAGTACTTATCAAATATAGATAGCCGGATAAAGTTTTTCGGTTTTCTTCTCTGTGTACCGTACCCCCACAACAAACAAGCGACATAAAATGGAAATGCATAAGTGTGACATAAGCAAGCGTTCTCCGCAGTCCATCTGGCAGTTCGGTTCTAGACCAATCCCACGTGTGTTTTGTCGTTCATATTACATATACAGGGAACTCGCATCTTAAGGGTTTACCGTACTCCATACGAACTATTCTCTAGTTTTCTCACAGTCGCTGTAACCACAATCTGAATCCTGATTTTGAATTCGCCATGGTCAAGAAATATTCATACTGATGTGAAGGACATTCCGGCTACGGTTATTACATGAAATTTTTCTGTCCAAGGAGTCTTAATACACATAGGCTAATCTGCATATCACTTGAGATCTGTGAAGCCTATGGAAAGGACAGAATAGATAAAGCCTGGAAGCTTAATGTGAGTCATATGAAGAAGTACAACAAGCATAAGTAGGCTAGAACCTACCTATTTAAAAACCATACCTGTTTTTTCCTACTGTAATCAAAGCATTCCAATCCACCAAAACTGTGTGCTATTTGTGAGGCTTCTGATCTTTTTATACGTAGCAGTTGCACCTCTTTGGTTTGGTAGACTGGTAGTTTCCTTCCATGTGGTCCTGAACACATACATCTTGTCAATTATAATGGTTAAAACATAAAATCCCTTGCCTGAAAAAAAGGCTCATGATGTCTGAATATAACTCTGATCCACTGTTAATCGAATTTGCTCAATAAATCAGTCGCCGATCTGATTTAATTGGGATAGAAATTAGCATAACGGTATGTGTGTCTGGTTACAATTTACCTCAGTTTAATTCTCTCAGAGTCTGCCTACTGAGAATGAGATTCAGTGACGTCAGATGGGAACAATTTTCACCAAATTGAGATAGCACTGCTGGAATAAAAGACCTGTGTGTAGCATTCATTCATTGATCATGCTCCATCGATTACCGGGTTTCCAATACTGTCGTTCACACAGTTATTGCGCTTGCTTTGATCGATCAACCTGCTGTGTCTCTTTAAGGGACATTTTCGTTATCTCTGTACTCATGGTGGCTGGTCAGTGTAACGTTTGTATTGTGCGACTAACTGAGTTTACCATTTCATCCTTACTTCACTTTTCGTGGGACCGAACAGCACAATAACAATATTTTTGTAGATGCACTTCAGTTCGCTCTCATCAGTCAACCTTCATTTTGTGCGCTTAGCTGCCAGTTTGAAGATATCCTCAAGTTCATCTGGTTAATTCAATTCAAGGTTAATTCAAGGTTTAATGGTCTAAAAAGCAATTAACTTTACAAGGACCATAGGGTGAACGTATATACACAAAGGGACGCAAAAATATGCGTAATGTTTACTGAGTATCACATGGAGTTAAATAGTTCCAGATTCGGTTTGGACATAAGATGTGCATCTAAATTGTTCTTGAAAATGTTTAAACTCGGCGAATGTTCAACATTGGGAGGTAGGGAGTTCCAAATGAAACATACACGGATCGCAAAAAAGTTCCGTCGACAGTTCACCCTCGAGTGAGGTACCGCAAGCGAAAAGTCATGCCTCCTGCCCGTTCGTGTTCGACGTCGGACGAAAAGGTCTTCCAGCGGATGATTAGGTGTCTTCAGTATATTATATGTTAGAATTAGGTCTCCCCTGATGCGCCGATAGTAGAAGTCAAATAGGTTGAGACTGGCAATCCTGTCTTCGTATGGTTTATCTTGCAATCCAATTACTAGCTTCGTGGCTCGATGATATATTCGCTGTAGAAGAATTATGTCTTTTTGAAGCCATGGTGACCAAGCTTGTATAGCGTATTCCATGGTTGGTCGGATGTAGGTTGTGATGGACTCTAAGATGGGCTAAAGAAGTCCAATAGCACTTGAAAGGTCTTTACAGATAATATAAATCTATTGGTCTTTTTTCGCATCCTGTAGTCTATCGGTCTTAGCATAAAATTCACCAGTTGTTTGATCAAACAACCGGTGTGGAGGATTTCCAGTAGCATGCTAGATGGTAGAGGAGGCCTATTAACTAACTGGGTCGGACCAAACTAATAAAAAATTAGATGATGTCTTCGTGTGAGACTCTTAGTATTTTCATATTCTTGACATTACCAAGGTCGAGTACTACGAAACGGCTAGATATCTCATAATATTTGGGAAAAGACATTAAATCACTAAAAACGCTCATTTTTAGACCTCCATATGGTTCAGTGTCAGTACGACAAGTCTGTATTGTTTACGCTGTGGTCACAAAACGTTCTAGTTCGACCTTAATCCATCGTCCACAATCAGTAAATCTAGGGATAATGAACCGATTTTCTAAAACCCCAAAATCTGATTGATTTCGGATTTTGGGTGTGAAAAATACTGCACCTTATATTTGACGCATGCAACGTGATCGCACATTTCCACAGTGGAAAGGTTTCCGATCACATGCCATCAAACAAGTAAATCGTATTAGAATCTACTGAACAAACATACAGTAGATTCTTTCTGGCTCCATGCCGACCAAAGTGCTGATTCATTTGTGCACATTATGGAATACTTACTGCAGAAGCAACGACTCAATTTCGTTGGAGGGCTTGTAAGAATGTGGATCTGTTTTCCAAAATAAGACTATACGACTGTTTGATATTTACTTACACAGAGGGGATCTTCTATGAATGATTTTTTTCTACTTTTCGAGCAATAAACTCATTTGCAAATCAATTTGGTTTTCACGAGAGACTGAACTGAATCTCTCGTGTATGATATTCTACAACTGAGTGTGCTGCACACAGGCCACCTCAGTGAGCACGATATTCGAGATATCGCAGTATATTTTCATAAAGGGAACTACTCACAAGGTTGTCAAAGAGTTTTCAGCAGCCTTGTGAGTAGTTTCCTTGAAGAAAAGATTTTTTCTACTGTTCTGATGCCACATTCTCTCCAGTCTTTCAGGATATCATGGAATTACACAAAATTCTCAAGCAATTCTTGTCGACGTAACACGATACTCATTGAGTTGTTAAAGACCCTCTGAAACCACAAATTAGAGATCTGGCTGGATTCACTTGAGTCCCTCAGCAAAACCATATTCGTGTGCTAACGACTGCATTTGTCAAATTCATGTCAAATACAGAAGTCACCATAATCCATAAATTCACACTTGAGCGACGGATCACCTTGGTCTTATGTGGTTATTCAAACTTCCTTGTATTGCATCATGTATTTAGTTCCTTTTACCTTCAGATGGAACAAAATTCTCGAGGACATTAACCAGACCGATCATGTGGAGTGGGTTTGCTGTGTGACCAGTGAATGTTTTTTTAACTTTAATCGCTAGTTTTCATATATATATATATATATATATATGGGAAAGAGCAAACAGCTAGTGAAAGGGGCCATATTGGAAGAGCGATGCAGAAAAAGTACCTGTTTTTTATTTTTATAGCGTTTTCGATCATCACCACCGAAAGTC